ATACCCCTTTTCTATTTCTTTCTATACACAATGTATTGTAGTTTCTCTCCTTTATACAATAAAAGAGGGGTCAAGGTTTAGATTCTCTATACTCACAACAATATATATTCTTCTTAAACTCTTAATATCCTACTCTAAGATTATTTATCACTACATTCCTTAACACAATAATCCTATTTAGTCAAGATAACTATACCATCAAGTTATTTCAAATAAAAGAAGGAGAAAGCCTCCTTTTTGATTTCTTATACCCACAATCTTCTTAAGACAGTGCTTTAATAGACAAATACATTCAAATCAGACAGGTCATACAGATCATGTTAATCATATAAATCAAACTTATATTTCAATACCAGCCTATTTTGTTATCTTTAAAGTTTACAGTTCATAGATCTCACTCAAAGATTTCCTTTTCTTTTCTCTCCAATCTCACCGTCTCAGTCCAAACCGTTTTCCACTCTCCTCTCTTCCGCTTTGTCTTTCTACTATTCTCTCCAGGTCTCTCTCTTTATGACTCCACTCGTATCTTCTCCGTTTCTGTCCAATCCTCCTTTGTCATCTCTTTCAGCCCACTCTCTGCCAAATTTTTTTCTTCTTTGCTCCCATTTATGTTTTGGAGGGCGGAGCTGGCATCACGACGATACGGCATGCGATCTTGGAGGTCTGAGATCGCTGCCGATATCTTTGCTCCTGGATGGTCTAAGTGGATCTAAACCATCCCGAAGAGACAGTGAATGTAAAGAGCGCATCCTGTCGATCCCAGGGATACCGCAAAGTCCCTGGTAGATCCAGGAGAAGCTCTTTTTGTCAGCAGCAAAGAGGCAGCCATTAAAGCTGCTGAGGTTGGGACAGCTCCAAAACGAAAGAGAATGGAAAGAGAGAATGTGCCCATTTGGTGAGAATTTTTCTTTATTTTAAGATTTGAAAGGACACCCTAAGGAAAAGAAAGAATCTGTAAAAGTTTTGACAGAAGTGATTTAGCGGCGAGTTTAAACAGGAATGTCAAAGTAATTTTTTTTTCTCATTGCTGGATTTTCTACACATGATCTTATATTTTGAAACTGGACTGGTTTTTTTTTCTCCTTTTATCTATTCTTTTTCTCCTTTTTGACTTTATAATATTTTAGGCTAGAGACTCCCTTTTAGTTATTTTTTTAAATATCTTTTTCCTTTTTTAAATTAATTTTTATTATATTTTGCTTGGAAAAGGAGGGGGAAAGTGAAAGCAAAAGAAACTTTGTAACACTGCCAACTAGAGGCTTGCAAATATTCTATTTCTCTTTTGACCAGACAAAGCTGAAAAAGAACTGAGACTTCTTTTCAAGGACATTGCCTGTTTGATAAGATAGAGGGAAGAGCATGGGAGAGTATTATTGCAGGTGCTCTTCTGGGTTTCTATCAACAGCTGGAGTCTGGTGTTGAAGCTTATAGGAAAAGAAAAGGTGATAAGTCTCTGGAGAAGAGAGTTATAACAAGAGTCTTGGATAATTAAACAAAGTGCAATGTGCTCTTTTTATTTTTTCTAAGCCGCACTACCCCTCCTCATCAGTTTACTTTTTGAAATAGCTATTTGGATTTTTGGCTCTTTGGAACTTGTCTTTGTTTTTTTTCTTGTCTTTGGAAGTTAAATTTCTACGCTTGCTTTTTATTTCAAAGGAAAAGCTTTAGTATTAATGATTCCCTTACTTTTCTTTTTAAGGGAGTAGCCTTTTTCTCTCTCTCCCTTCCTGGTATTTTTGTCTTTCCATCTACCTTCCATATTGGTTTTTTTTTTTTTTTTTGGTATATTTTTCTGGCCTTCTTTTTTCTCTCTCTCTCTTATGCATCCTTTTATATTTGAGACCTCTTAATTGGATTAAGGTGTTGAACAACCTGAAGAATTTTTCCTTTATTTTTTTAGCTTTTTATTCTTCACTTTTCTGCCCTTTTTAGGATTTTACAACTTTTTCTTTTTGTGTGTGTGTTTATGGTCTTTTCCTTTATTTTTGAATTTTTACTGTTATCTAACCAATCAATTGGATTAAGGTATACAAGGACCTGAAGAATTTTTTTCTTTTTTAATTATTATTACTATTTGGCTTCTTTTTTCCTACTATTTTTATTTGGAACTGCAATTGGTTATTTCACAATTGGATTAAGGTCTAGAAGAACCTGAAGATTCTGAATTGCTCAAAATGAGTAGGAAATTAACAGCTCCTGGTTCCTCAACTTCTACTTCTTCCTCTCCACCATCTGGAGGACAACGTTCAATACAGACAATGTTAAGGTAAGAAAAAGAACAAGAAAAGGTGACCCTGCAGATGATTATGCAAGGAATTCAAAATATTCAAACAAGATCAGAAAATATTGAAAAGAGAATAGAGAACATTGAACAAAGAACAGGGAAAACTGATGAAAAAGTGGAGAACATCCAACAAATGATGATGAAGTATGATGAGAGACTCCAAAAGAAGATAAACAAAGAGACAAGAAGATTGGAGACATCGATAACAGATTAACTGTGGTTGAACAAGATAAAAGTGGTATGCTGAGATGGGAGATGGACAGATCAGAATTTTATCTTAGATTCCAAAACATAGAGGAAGAAAAAGGACAAAATCTAGCTGAGATAATGATAGAAATATTGGCTGAAGCTTTGGAAATAACTGAAGAGAAGATGATGGATGGAATAGATGAGGTCTATCGAGTCTTCACAAGATATGCAATGAGAAATAGCTTACCAAGAGAAGTTCACATTAGATTTACAAAGAAAGCCATTAAAACGCAAATTTTGCAAGTGGCAAGAGAGAAAACATTGAAATACAAAGATAAGGAGATTGTGGTCTTGAAACATGTACCCAGAAGAGTGAGAGACATGAGAAGAGAATACCAATTCTTGACCAAATTGCTACTTAAAAAAGAGGTGAATTATAGATGGCTGATTCCAGAAGGTTTAATGTTCACATGGCAAGAACAGAGATATAGAATTGACTCAATTGAGAAAGCTGAATCATTTTACACAGAATTTTTCAGAGGGAAAGAGGAAGGGGCAGAAAAATTAATTTCACTAATTGAATTCCAAGAGGACTGCCAAATGACGACTGAAAAAGAAGAAGGTCTAGTAGGTGGAAAGGAGGAAGCCAAAGAACAACATGAACCAAGATCCACAAGAGCTGTCAAACCTAACTACAAAATATAACCATAGAAGAGGAAAAATTGATTACAATTAATATAAATGGACTTAATTCAGCCATTAAAAGAAGGAAAATCTTCCATAAATTAGAGAAATTAAAATTTGATATAATCTGCCTACAAGAAGTACATATTAAAAAACAATATGAACAATTGTTGATACAGCCAAAATTAGGGAAAATATTTACTTCCTTGACACAATGTAAGAAAAGAGGAGTGGTTTTATATATTAAAGAGACCATCCCAGCAAAATTGATTTATACTGATGACGATGGAAGAATACTAATGGTGGAAATAATGGACAATAATACGAAAACACTCCTGATTGCAATCTATGCCCTGAATGACAATCAAGAAGAATTTTATAAAAAATTACATATGAAAATAATTGAACTGGACTATGCTAATATAGTTATGATGGGAGATTTTAATGGAATTGTAGACAATAAACTGGACTATACAGCACAGAAAACAATAAAGCAAAACAGAAAGACTCTCCCTAAATCTTTTTTTAAAATGGTAGATGAAATAAACTTAAAAGATACATGAAGAGAAAGAAATGCTAAAACTAAACAATACACCTTCTACTCAAATAGACATTTATCATGGTCCAGAATAGATATGATATGGATGTCAACAGAATTGTTAACTAATATTCAAGAAATAAATATTGAAACAAGTACTTGGGCAGATCACAATCCAATAACAATTCAATGGAAAGGACAAAGAAGAAGATCTAGATGGACGTTAAATAATACTATTTTAAAGGAAAAAGACTTCACACAGTGGATGGAGAAAGAACTGGCTTTTTTCTTCAGAGAAAACAAAAAAGAAGATACATCAATCCAGAATGTATGGGATACAATGAAGGCATATGCCAGAGGCTTGATAATAGACTATACAAGGAAAAGGAATACCATGAAAAGATTAGCCTCTAAGGCATTAGAGGATGAGTATAAAGGACTTGAAAAAGAGCTACAGAAAATGCCACAGAAAAAGGACATTAAGTTAAAAATGGATATAACCAAACAGATTCCTACAGACAGTGCTGGCATGCAATAAACTTGTATTCATTTCAACCACTTTGATTCCTGATTTCCTGCACTTGACAGAACTCTAAAAAAAAAAAAAATCCCAGTAGTTCATCTTCCAGCCTAAAGAACCTGGTTTTTAATGCCAGGTCAGATGCTCATAAAACATTTATTATCTTGAATTTATCCTTGTGGAAAATGTTGACTTGGCATATATTGCAAACACCTTGCTCAGAGGAAGCATGCATTCTGTCTTTCCAGGCTCTGTCCACCAGAATTCCTGTGGTGCAGTAGCCTAATAATGAAGAGAGGACTTGGTATGGCTGTAGTTATAGGAGTCCATCTCACTAATTGAAAGCTCCATTCAACAGTCTGACAATTTTGAAGATCTGCTGCTGATCGTGAAGGGTTAGGACAGTATAGGGATACATCTTGTAGGTTGGAAAAACTGTTGAAACCCTAATTCTCCCTTTCTTCTGACTCTAAATCCATGGCTAGTATCCCTAAATGTGTCTAATATAAATAATTGATTAGATAAGGAAGAATACACTGAGATTAAATCCAGATAAGACAGAAAGACAGTTGTTCTAGATTTGGTTTCCATATCCCAGAAAGAGCCAATTTGCAGTTTGGGAATCTTCTTGACCCCAGTTCTCACAGTCTTTATAGTTGGCAGCTATAACTAGAAGATGATTTCTAGAATTACAGATAAGGCATTAATTGCAACACTGCCTTGGCTGCTCAGCTTAACAATGGCCTTCGTTTCAATTCATCTTAGCTACTATGTGTGCTTTATGTGGAATAAACTGAAAAATAACATGGTAATTCCAAATTACGAGCACAGAGGATATTACCTAGTTTACAGGGGTGGGATTCCAATTTTTTTAACAACCAGATCTGTGGGCGTGGCTTAGTTGGTGGGCATGGCTTGGTGGTCATGTGACTGGTGGATGTGGCTTGGTGGTCATGTTATTGTCTGGGCGTGGCCAACTCAACATCACTCCCATCGAGGCACGCATCTCCTTGCCTGGCCTCTCAAGACTGTGGGGGTGCTGCAACAGTCATAAGTGTGAAAAATGGTCATAAGTCACTTTTTTCAGTGCCATTGTAACTTTAAATGGTCACTCCACACAAGCAAAGTACCAGCAAAGGAGGGAAAAAACTCCAAAGAAGTTCCTGAGACAGGAAGTCTAGTCCTGCCAAGAATGTAATAAGGGTTAACGGAGAGGCAGTTTCTGTAAGCAACACCAGAATGTTTCCTTCCTGCCTTCCTTACAGGATTAGGCCAGTAATTTCTTCTAACATCCGGTTCTCCAAACTGCTTAGAATGTTAACAACTGATTCTAGTGAATAGGTGCAAACTGGTAGAATTCCACCCCTGCTAGTTTGGGTAATGAAAAGTCTGTTAAAAAAACAACTAAGCTCAGAGAGCACCAAGGACCCCTCAAATTCCAAATTGTACAAAACTGTAGCAGAGGCTGCCTGGGACAAAGTTCATGCATCTTATGATGCCTGAACTGAAGGATCAGCAAAGACTAATGGTTGCCCCCTGGGCATAACTGAGGGTGCCTGTGTTCATTTTTAAAATGGTTAGGACCTGATTATCTGCACAACTACCTCTCCCACTATTAACAGGTCCAACTATATTGGAGGAAAGTGTCTTCTGAAGATATCTATTTGCCAGAAGTTTGACTGTTGGGTACTTAGGAAAGGGCTTAAGGAAGTGGGTGTAACTTCCAATCTCTCAGTATATGGAGAAATAGAAAAAGGAATGCTGTATGTCTCTTTCAGCAAACTTTTCATTGTTAATTATTTCAGTTGATAATTTTGATTTGAATTGTATTGTCACAAACAACTTTGAGTACCTTAATGATTGATTAAATAGAAATTCAGTAACAAAAATAAATGTAAATGTTGATGTGTGTTTAACTTATTCTATGCCTCAATCAACTAGAATCTCAGAGGTTTACCTGTACATATAATAAAATTCAGTGAAACATCTATAATGGAAAACAAGGTAAATATGTTTTAATTAAATAGAAAAATTCATAAATCAATAGCTTCCCCAGAGCAGTAATCTCACTCACTATAGGACCTCTGGAACAGTTTGGGTTTTTTAGAAGGTCAGAAGTAAGAAGTATGAAAGTAAGACTCAGATCTACAGCCTAGGCAGCCTAGATCTACAGCCTAGGTTTCTCAACTTGGCAAATTTAAGATGCCTGGACTTCAACTCTCAGAATTCTTCAGGCATGCTGGCTTGGAAATTGTGGGAGTTGAAGTCCACGCATCTTAAATTTGCCATGGTTGGAAACACTGGTCTAGGCACAGCCACTGAAAAATAGTGATTCTATGGCTCATTCCTCCTCACTTTGCAACAGTAAAGTTCCCTAAGTATTTTTTTCCTGGCACCAACAGATTGGCATGACTTGATTTTGGCTGGAGAAGAAGGTCTTGGAAGTTTCTTCATCTGCAGCCTTATAGGGCTTCAGGGCTTAAAACAACTACTACTAATGTAAAGTGCTTGTGTTGATAAGCTAGCAACTGTGCCATTGCAGTCTGGACTAACTGAACCTTCCAATTTGTCTTCAGACTCAATCACATGTTGACCGTATAGCAGCAATCCAATGAAAATAGTAATGAAAATAAGAATTACTATTGCAACATCCCTTCATTCCTGGTAGGACAGCAACTGACCTTCCATCTACTCAAATATTGATAGTCAGGAGATCAGAAGAACTTTCAAATTGCAGATCTTCTTCTTCAGGGATAATGACATCTCATCAAAAGACAATACCAGAAACCCAAGAGTAATATTATGGTCAAACAGCAACTTGATCTTGCTGGGACACAACTGAATCCATTCCATTCACTCCTTAACAGCTCCCAGATACTAGTTTAAGGCATTAATGGCATCTCTTAACAGCCAGAGTAATGATGACACCATACTGTGAATAATGACTGACTCTCCCAATAGTTTCTACATGGGCTAAAATTCAGGATGAAATTGAAGATCCTGAAAAGAAGATTGCTGGAGGGCAGACAAGTAACCAAGATGGTTCAAATCACATGCCACATTTTCTTGCAAGTTTCTCGTGCATCTCTTTCCATAATGGATTTTTCTAATTTGTACGTCTTTAATTTTGCAAATGAGAATTTTAAGCAAAAGATACTGGGGTAACTCACATTTGAAATATATTATTAGTATATTGTGGAACACAGTTTAATTTTATTTCACAATGCTTGTTAGGCAAGCTCTTTCAAAATAAAAAAAAATAAAATAATAAAAAAAAATAAAAAAAAATAAAATAAAATAAAATAAAATAAAATAAAATAAAATAAAATAATAAAATAAAATAAAATAAAATAAAATAAAATAAAATAAAATAAAATAAAATAAGATAAAAGAATAATAATAAAATAAAATAAAATATGGCTAGGAATCAATGCAAAGATATTCCTGAACAAATTAGGTGTTCAATCATAAGATCAGTAACACATTGAGAAATATGTATGTGTGTATGTACACAAAGACCCAAACCCAGAGAGATAGAGTTAAATAAAAGAGATAATAATTCAGAATAAAAAAAAAAATAGAGCTGGAGGCAATCCAGAAGAAAGGAGATTGGAGAACACATTTATTAAATGCTGTATATTTACTGTATTTGGATGGCAAATATAGCCATTTACTGTATTTGGATGGCAGTTCATAACACATTCTGTCAGGCCCTTCCTGGGCTGTGAATGATTTGTCTTTAAAATGAACACTGGGTGGGAAGTCTGGAAAATCTGCAAAATTGGGGACTCTGAACTGCAGTAAATTGTTGTTGATTAGTTGATTACTGTTCTGCTGATTAGGTTATGGTAGAAGGTAAAAATGACTAGGTGATAGAACTGCCAAGCAGTGAAGATGTATCCTATGTTACCAGGGGAGCTCAGAATCTTAGTCCTAGGAAAATTTCTATATGTCAGAGAGAGATTTATTAAAACATGTTTGGCTTTCTTGGATCACCTTCTTTTGTCTACTGCAGGCAGTTAACCTTAGAGATGGCACAACTGTTTTTTTTTCAAAACCCTCATCTAATTTCAGTCAGAAAAAAGGTGGAAGATTTCTTCAAGGGAGGGAGATATTCAATTATTCCTCAAGTTGTGGGCAGTGAAAAAGCACCCCATGGGCAGTGGTTGTAGGAAGAGTTCCCTCATGATGCCATTTCCTTTAATGGAGGCATGGGAAAACAGAGAGGGGTGGGGTTTTTTTGGTTGGTTCAGTGGGGTAATTCAAGCAAAAGTTTACTACTGAGGAAAACTAGAAAGGCAGATGATTAGCTGACAAAGGCTTTAGAAAATCATGGCATGTGAAACCGAGGCTAATTAGCCCTAGAATGCACATCTGGTTTGAGAAGAGTAATGCTGTGTTATAGTATATTCAGCAGAATATTCCGGAAACTGATCCAAAATATAAGAGTAAAGCAGAAATCATTTTGCCTAGATGAAAGGATTATGGCACATTAGATGCATGCAGCATGTTTTTTTTTAAACTTCAGAATGACACATAGCCTTCTCTCTATCTATCTTCCCACCAAAACCAACCTTTAATCTAACACACAGATATTTGTGAAACATTTATTTGTGTACATTTACCTGGTGTTTTGTTACAGAACATGGATCCTTAAATAGGCTAGTAAGATATTAAAATATATGCATTTTTATTTATAATTTCACCTGACACTTTGCAGAAGGTTTGCCGTATTAGTCTGCTGATCACAATCATCCTAGGAAGACTGAGACTTGTACTTCATTAGATGCATGAAGGGTTATTGCCAGTTTATTTATAGCATTCTACTGTATATGCAAAAAAAGAAAATGTTTACAGACTGCTGCATACACAGTAGAAAGTAATAGAAAAATATTAGAAACTAGTAGAAAAAATACGGATTAAAGGCACTAGAAATGCAAGGGCTATCTTATTTCTATAGAGTGGCAAATGTATACAAAAAGAAACCTTAGTCAATGCTGCCTATCTTGCTATGCTGATAGCAGAAATGAACAATTCCTTCAAGTATGGAAAATGTCCTCGTTCTTACTTTTAGCTTGAATTTGATAGCTTGAATTTGATACATGCAATCAAATACATTATTAAATCAGCATTTAGGGATAATCAGGGATTTGTTTAGCCAACAGACTTGATCAAGCTCTTGGGCAATGTGCAGACTGATGCTTCAGCTTTCATATTAAGAATGGTATACCTTTAAATATGTATTTGGCAATCAAATATGTTTATCAATCTATCTAGAGAGAAAAATATAAATAAGGAAATAAGTTAAATTTTAAATACTTAAATTTAAATATTAGTTTGCAAGCCATGTGGATAATGGATAGATGAATAAAACTAGTACAGGCTGAAAATAGGTGACTTTTGTCTGTTCCTCTCAGGTTTTACTCTAGAACTTTCTTATGAAGTCCTTTGGTTGAAATATGGTGACTTTAAGATAAAAATGTCTCCCCCCCCCAATTTTTTAAATTTCAATCTACATATAACAACAATATATTAACAGTGTGGCATCAATATATCATATATCTCTCATTGCATATATTCATATTAATTCATACTTCTTCAATATTTATTTTCAACCTTACTCTCTCCAAATGCCTACCACCATATCAGTTAAACATACCTAGTAATTCCATTATTCAATTTTCTCCCTGTTTTCATTTTATTTTATTTTTTAATTAAAAAAATCTCATTTGGCAAGCCTTGCGGAATCCCCTTCCTTATCCCTTTTTTCACCCATTATCTCTCACTCTTTGAACAGTGTACCTTCTTTTCATCCTTGTTTGTTTCCTGTTCCTCTTTATTTTCTGGTCCTTTCTCTTAATTCCCTTTTTCCCCATTCTTATTCCCCTCCTTTTATTCCCCTTTTATTTTTATTCCCCTCCAGTTATTAAACTTTTCTCTCTCCCACTTTTGATTTTTCTTTTGAACTTCCTTTTTTGCTTTTTCCTTCTCTCTTTAACCATTTTCTGAACCATTCTCCCTTTTATCATCCCATCAGACCACAAATTTTTAATTCTAATTCCTCCCCCCCCCCCCCGCTTAAATAATTGCTGTTCGTTTTGTCCTTCTGAGTTGGCTTCTTCTTTATAGAACTCCTCCCCCTCTGGTTTATTATGTTCTTGTGTATGCTGAGTCACCATTTCTAATTTCTGTAGTACATAATTACACATTTCAAGTTTGATTTTTATCATGTCCCTTGTATCTTGCATATCCGATCTTATATTTTGTGAGTCCAGTCTTATATCAACAAGTAGCTCCTCCATTATATCTTCATTTTTCTTTTTCTTTCCTCTTCCTTAATAGCTGAAATCCTCTTCTTTAGTAGATATATTCAATCTCAGAGTCCGGTATATTATTTCAGCCAATATCTTTTGAGTTTATTTTCAACAATTCATACTCT